TCAGTGGGTAAATCGAAACTGAATTAAGTAATAACTAACACCCGTTGCAAAAGAGGTAGCTCAGTTAGTTTAATGAACTAGGCTTTTGCGTTTGAAATGATGAGTATTGGGTTCAAGTCTCAGTGAGAACAATATCACACACTCACTTGCTCACTGAGGAGACGCTGATGCTAGATGACGAGTCTCGAATAGCACGAAATCCTCATCCTAGATTGCAACATCCACCAAAATTGAAATTGACTTTCAAGTATTGGTTTCTAGGGATTTTCATTGATTAGTTACAGGATTTCATCATGAGCTGACATTAGTTAGAGAACCATTGGAAAACCAGGCGGGAGTACTGGACAGCTCTTTCATCCTAGTTTGAGACTCTTCATCAGTACGCACCCACCAAAGGGGTTCGAACCCAGAACCTTCTGGTTACAAGGCGAGCTCGTAGACCATTAAGCCACTGGGACTCGATCCTATGGTAAGCCCATGAATTCTAACTTCTGCTAATTAATGATATCGGGCAACCGCTAACCAATGTCTTCCGCGAGTATATGTCCTCACACCCGACCTGCTGCACCCTACTGGTCACAACTCCCCACTAGAATCCCGGCCGGTCGATCGGTCGGTTTTCGACATAGAAATTTGCACATATGTGCGGCAGTTCAAGTCGCCACACTCCATGTAGCACACAAAGCAAGAGAAGAAAGTAGGAGAAATACATAAAACAGAGCTGTGAGACAAAGGAATAGTAATAACGGAGAACAAAACAGTTTAATTTGAAATCATAAGTCACAAGGAGTGGATGCATCTGCGCCACTGAGAACGATTTTGAGCCATGTCACCAATTGTTTCCAACCATTGGTTTCTACCGTCCCACTAGAACCCCAGGTAACTACCTACCTGAATAGGGCAAGTCGCCAGTGCGCATCTCATTGGTGTTCATCCATTGTCTAGTGGTTGCGCTATGTCGTGAAGTGGCAGAAGTTAGTATTCATGGGCCATTGGATTGGATCCCAGTGGCTTATTTGTATACGAGCTTGCCTTGTAACCGGAAGGTCCTGTAGTGGGTGGTACTGCCGATTATTCCCAAACTAGGAAGGAGGAAACAGCAGTCCAGTACTCCCAGCTGGTTTTCCAATAGTTCTCTAACCAATATCAGCTCATGATGAAATCCTGAAATTGACTTTGTTTTGGAGTATGCATGAACAACAGAGAAAATTATTTTTGTGTGATAAAGATTATTCCTATCACTGTTTCCCTCTCTCTCCTCTAAAAATTAACCTCAGTTTAATTTTTACCATATGGCAATTCATTTATTCCCTAATTGTGTGAGTGCGTGTGTGTGTGAAATTAAATTCACACGCGCATACACTCCTGTTTCTACTCACAAACACACACACATACATACACACCCACACAAACACACAACTGCGCTAGACCACAGATCCCTATGATCGAAACATGTGTACATAAAGACTAAACACCTGTTTCATGAATTATTATTATTCTTATGAAATGATTTTGAGGTAAAACACCAGGACTGATTTCCCTACGAATAAATTGGCAAGGGATGTATGTAAGTTAGGCATACAGAAAAGGCGTAATTGGGATGCAGAAAAAAGGCGTTTATTTAGAAAAATAATTTACTCCACTCACTATACTATGTTTTCTTTTGTTTTGGTTAACATCCTGACTCTTTTAGGAAAAAATTGATTTTATAACACATAGATTATGTGGAGGATTTCATAATGAGCTGACATCAGTTAGAGAACCACTGGACCATTGGATTGGGTCCCAGTGGCTCAATGGTCTACGAGCTAGCTAGCTTGCCTTGTAACCATAAGGTCTTGGGTTTGAACCTCCTATGGTGGGTGCGTACTGATGAAGAGTCCCAAAGTAGGCTGACGAAACAGCTGTCCAGTACTCCCAGGTGGTTTTCCAGTGGTTCTCTAACTGATGTCAGCTCATGATGAAATCCTCTATGCAATATAACAATAATTCCCTGCAAAACCAATACTTGAAAAACATAGATTATAATTATTAGTGAGTGAACAAGTTGTAATTATTTTATATTTCGAGTTTCATTATAAAGTGACTTTAGATAGAGAACCACGGAAAGCTGCTACTGAAGTATACGGGAGTGCTGTTGCCTCCACACTAGTTTGCGATTTTATCAGAAATACGCACACACACCGCCAGAGTTCTAACCCCTGAGATCCTTCGGTTACAATGGCTAGCCTATGAATTTCAACTTCTACCGATTCGCATCGCCTTTTTTACCTAAACTTCCTGTTTATTCATGTTATTTTAAGTTTTCTCAATCCCTGTCTACACTACCATATTTTCATATCCACACTTCCTGTTTATCATTTTTTCATTTTATTATTTCTACATATTTAATCCCTGATTGCATAAACAATTATTCATCACACTAGTTTCTTATCCAAACATCCTGTATATTTTTGTTATTTTTACATTTCTAACCCCCAATTGCACAATATGTCAATCCTCTCAGTAATTATGATGCTACTTTGTTTAAGTTTTATCCGTGCCCCTGTTAATTATGGCATTTTAATTCCTAATTGTAATTTTTAATAATTTGACCCTTAACCGGAAATTATTCTGGAACTTTCCCATCCATTTGATATAAATACACGAATGTACAGCCTAGATGATGACTTCGTAGAAAAGAAAATTTTCTTCGCTGCAACTGTCTTTTTATTCTACCGATTCATGATTTTAGCACGATCAGCAGCAGGTAATATCATCCGCGGTGAGTATTAGTCATCTCTCGACCGGATGGACCCCACTGACCCTGACTTGATGACAGAAATCGATATCATTTAGAGAACCATTGAAAACCATTAGGTGGCTGGCCACAATATGAGGATTCCTGCAGTTCTAGCGATAAGTCGATTCCAGTGAGGCACTTCCAGTCAGATATAGGCTGGTGCTGGTCACGGTGAAATCAGGAATTTTTAGAAGATAGAATTGATTGGATGGCCAGTGAGTGAAGGTCCCGCTGACTGAATGATCTATTATTATTATTGTTCCCTTGGGTTCCTAGTGAAATATAGGGCTTCAACTACACGTCTCCACTTGCTTCTGTCTTCTGCTGTACTTTTCACCTGCATCCATGTTAATCCATACTGTTTCAACTCCTCTTCACACGGTCTCCTCCATGTCACCCTTGGACGTCCTACTCGTCACTTCCCTTTCGGGTTCCACTCGAGCACTGGCGTGATGCGCGATGTCACCCAGCGGCCTCCTCCTCAGCAAGTGTCCAATACATCTCCACTTTCTCCTGCATATTTGTTAGGCCATTGGTTCTTGTTTTGTTTGTTCCCATAGTTTCCTGTTGGTGATTCTTTCCGGCCGGCCATCTGATCTTCAGTATTGGGCGACGAAGACAGTTGTTGATAAAGGTCTGAAACCTGTTGGAAATATTCTTGGTGACCCACCAAGTTTCTGATCTGTATAGAAGAAGAACTGACTTGACGTTTGTATTGAAAATCCGAATTTTGTTGTTGATGCTGAGTGACGAATAATCTATTAGCTTGACTCTTAACTGAAAGATCCTGGGTTAGAACCCTAGCAGTGGGCGCGTGCTTCTGATGTGTTTCGAAGACAGACTTTTGTTTGAGGCGAAAGTATTGACTAGGCTTGTTTGTTTCTTAGTCAGCTATATGATTTTCCTGATCAACTTACAAATGGAAGCCAAAATTTCTAGATAGTTCACGAACTGTCTCAAGTTTAGCGAACCGATTGCACATAACTAAATCATAAACATTTAAAAATTATTTCACAGTTGAAGCTGAGATTTACATCAATAGTAGTACTCTGCTGCAACTGCATGCACTGATCTAGAAGTTGTACCTGTAAACTGATTGACTAGAACCTGCTTCCCCTAATACTGCATCGTGACACACTGCTATTTAACATTTAACTAACTGAATCAATAATAATTATAGCAACTGAGAATAATGGAGGAAGAGGAGTCTTATGTCACCCAGTGGACCAGCAGATAATGCCTAATCTCCCGAAAAGATGGGCTCATGAATCAAGTTCCCGCGGGAACGTCATCACCCGTCACAGATGCAGGAACATCTAGCTAGTGATGATTCACAAGTAAAACTAAACTAAATACGCAAATTAGATTCCACTGCTATTGGTTACAGGATTTCATCATGAGCTAATATTGATTACAGAACCATTGGAAACCATGGAAGTACTGAACAAGTGTTTCATCTCAGTTCGGGACTCTTCATGAGTACGGACCCACAGGGCTTAGAACCCAGGACCTTTTGGTTACAAGGAGAGCTCGTAGACCGTTAAGGCACTGGGATATAAGCCACGAAACAGCTGCCCAGTACTCCCAGGTTTTCCCATGGTTCTTTAACTAATGTCAGATCATGATGAAATCCTGTAGCAGATCAATCAAATCCCCACAAACCAATACTTGAATATCAATGAGATGCTCACTGGCGACTAGCCCTATTCAGGTAGGTAGTTACCTGGGGTCCTAGTGGGAAGTCGTGACCAGTAGGGTGCAGCAGGTCCGGTGTGAGGACAAATACTCGCCGAAGACATTGGCTGGCGGTTGCACTATGTCATGAATTGGCAGAAGTTAGAATTCATGGACTGGCCATTGGATGGGGTCCCAGTGGCTTAATGGTCTACGAGCTCGCCTTGTAACCAAGTGGTCCTGGGTTCTAAACCTTGTGCGTCCGTACTCATGAAGAGTCCCGAAATGAGACGAAACAGCTGTCAATTACTCCCTGCAGGTTTTCCAATGGTTCTCTAATTGATGTCAGCTCATGATGAAATCCTGTAGCCAATCAATCAAATCCCTACAAACTAATACTTGAATATCCACTGCTATTAGTTATCCAAACACTAAGGAAATCTACCTTTTGCATTCGAATAAAATTTTCTAAAATTTACAATTAAAGTGGATTAGATTATCACGTTCTTAATTATTCCCACTCTATTGTTGTTGCTGTTTTTAGTTGATATTGAAGAAATTCATGAAGTTCAACTTGGTTGTTCATCAAGAACTACACATTCACTTGGTCGAAAACGTCCACTCAGCTTAACACCAACATTATCATACAGTTTTTTATCCTCTGCAGGATCAGGTAGTCTGATTCAAACAGCTTCACGGAATTATTCAAATCATAATCATAATAATTCGAATTCATCGCTGACAATCGGTTCAATGTCACCACAATTACAAAGTTCAACATCATTGAATTCTGCTATATTAAATCTTAGTTCTAGTGCATTTACAATATGTTATGGTGCAGATTTTACTGTATTGGAGATATTAGCATCAGGTCCAGAAGAAGCGAATATATGGGTTACTGGTTTAAAATGTCTTATGGCTGGTGCACAAGGTAAGATGAGTACAATTATTATTATTATATTATATTATTATATTGTCTACTCCTTGTTTAACATTTTTATTCTGTACATAATTGTCAATTTAGTAGGCATGCTTTTTTATACTAGTTTGAGGCTAAAGTGTCTTCTGAATGCATATCTCCATCTGGAACTAAAGAGGATGGCGGTGACACAGAAGATGATTCAATCCAAAGGTGGATAACAAAAGGAGGAGCTAAGTTCATTGTACATCTTACAAGTGAAGACGACTTCTAGGATGGACAAAAGACATTTCTATGAAACACTGTCAACCAAATGAAGCAGAATAGTGTATCAGAAAATCAGGTCAGGAACACATTAACGCATTTGAAAGATGTTCAAAGGAGCCTAATTACCAAAGAGGAAGGGCAAACAATATAGTGGGCTGATCACTTAAAAGCACTCCTGAATCGGCTATCACCTACAGCTAGTCTAGAAATACCGCCAATAGCATGCACAGAACTGTCAGTGGACATTAATCCTCAAACAAAAGCAAAAGTCTTGAATGAAATCAAGCTTTTGAAGTTCAAGAAGTCAGCAAGACCAAACTGGATTCCTCCCGAAGCACTGAAAATGAATGCAGAGACCTCAGTAGACATGCTCACTGATAGGAAGAAAGGTTACCTTGTGAAGCTATTAAAGAAGGGTGATTTACGCCTCTCCCTGCAGGAACTGGCGTGGAATAATGCTCTTGTGCACGCCAAGCAAAGTACTGAGTGGCATCATCTTGGAGAGAAAAAAAGGATGTACTGGATGCAGAAATCCGCCAACTGGAACAGGCTGGATTCCGGAAAGGCAAATTATGTACTGATCAAATAGCAATTCTACACATCATCATCGAACTGAGCGAAGAATGGTAGACAAATCTTGACCTCAACTTCATCGACTTCGAAAAAGCCTTCGACAGAGAGCGTTGACCGAGTAGTAATTTGGAAACTACTTCGACACTACGGTGTGCAACGCCCAAGCCTTCATCAACCCCATTGAACAGTTGTATGATAGTGTCACATGTCGAGTGATCCACAAAAGAAAACTCGTAGAGGCGTGAGAAATGAATACAGAAGTAAGACAAGGCCTACTATCGGCCTACTACCACTAATGATATTTCGAATTGCGGTGGACTGTGGAGAGCGAGGCGATAGGGATACGTTGGACTGATAAGATGACTCTAGATGATTTACACTTCTCGGACGAGTTATGTTTCATATCACACAATCTAGATCTAAATGTGAGAAACAGCAAGCTGGCACAAGAAGCAACGAATAAAAGATTTCGAGGAAACATAAAGCCGAAATATCCATGAATGTTTCCGCCTAAAAAGAATCACCCTCAAGAATTACTCCATACTGAACTAAAAGTTAAACAAACGCTTCTTTACAGCTACTGTATTACGGTAGACAATTTGTATTTTAACACAAAATGAGTCATTTAAAATGAATAATTTATGGTGGATCTCAGTTACTCTTATTATAGTAATTATGAAAAATACTAATGTACCTAATGTCAATGCCCTGATCTTGGAACTTGAAGTTTCTAGATTTAATCGCTACTCAGGTCATGTATGAACAGTCCCAAAGAGATAAAACATAAGGTGGAACAGCTAGCTAGGGCCTCTTGGCTTTCACAATAATTCTGTAACTTATATAGGTTAGTGAAGTAGCTTACACTGGAATTAGTCGAAATCCCTTCAAAACCTGGCAAAGTTAAACTACAACAACCCATGGAATTCGAGCACACGACTAACCTTGAGCTGAAATTGGTGATTACTTACAAAAGAAATACACAGAATAATTATAAAAAACCTTAAACAGGATATTGTTGCCAGACATGACTTAAAAAAGTATCTTCCAATGATAATGAGGAGTATCAGTTTTTAAGTCACCGAGGTGACTGAATATGAGATCTTTTTGTGACTCATTTATTTTTCTTGACCCTGCTTTCCAATCTTCCCCAAACGCCCTCCATTGAATTAGTATGTGTTCCACTAGGATAACTGACAAAATCATCTGAGTAGTTGACTCGATGATGAATGCGACTCAAATCTGATAGCCCATTCATAATCTGTATGGATATTACTGCCAAAAGTGATTAACCTTTGTATAAGAGGATCTCCGCACTACGATCGGGAATTACTTTTACAATTCCTGTCTGAATTCTAGTGTTGTAAACTCCCAAAACTCAAACATTGTTTGGTCGAGGGTGACCACGATTATATGAGCGATAGCGCTCACTCCTCTCAACATCTGAGTGACAGTATTCATTTTCCAGGACACTACATCTCTGCAAATGGTGAGACCATCATCCTACAGTAGATACTAAAGAGTTTACCATTTGTACAGCCGCTGTTCTCAGCGGTAATAGGAGATAAAAGGAATATTTGTAAGCGACAGCTTCGAATTAGAGAAGAAGGTACTCAGAAATGAAAGAAATGAGTGGGTAAGTTACCATTAAGAGCACTCATTCGTTTCCAACACTGTGTACACCTCAGTACGTTTCCATCAGTTGCTTCTGTAGACCTTTAGATGTACACAGAAGCGGCCTGCTTAAAACGTGACCTACTCTTGTGGGCATTTAAAATGCCTACAAGCTTCTGATTCGTAAGTTTCTACTAAATTTGAGAAAAGACCTGATTGGGGATGGCGACGTGTTCCACTACAGGAGATGACTGTTCTTCAGTTATGTCCTTTGGTCTCAAAATTCTACATGTTCTGAACATCTTACAATTGGCTTTCAACTAGATATCGTGGATTTCTTGAAGGAAGTAGACGAAGCAGATATATATCATGATGGAATGTGATTTGTGCTTCAGCTCAGAGAGCATTGTGTCACAGGATTTACTGTCAACTAATATTTTGAATAACTAAGGCATTTAGAAGACAAATTTCGCCAGATGACATTGTCATTTCGTAGTTTCTTTACAACCGCTTTACAACTAACATGCTTAACAATAATAAAATAAAGTTCATGACAATTACTCAGTTAAATAAAAAAACAAAAGTACGTACTCATGACCAATCATATTTAGATAGATCATGTAATCCATGGTAGGCGAAGATTGAAGTCTATTGCCTTTTTTGTACACACAGTTTAGGCTGTATGTGATTAATCCTCGAAGTGCTTCCATCACGTTCAATAACCTTGAATTAGAGTTATGTGAAATAATTGTGACCTGACATTATTAAGTGTTTTGCAATGGATGATGCTGGATTTCTGTTCAGATTAATCGCGTTGGGATTTTCCATATGACTTAGTAGCCATTTTGGAACATGTTCTTTCCGACGACGACATTGGAACATTCTTTTGGTTCTACCTATATAAGTGTCACCGCAGCTGCAGGTGAACTTGAAGATACAGTTTGAAGTAGAGTCCACAGAATTTCGTCCTTTAATCGTAGGTACAGGGATCGAAAATGTTTGGCAAGTGAAAAAAAATATATTTTACTTGAAGATATTGTAAAAAGGGAAAACATCATGAAATAAACTCTTTTAAAAAAAAAATTCTGTCCAGAATAAAGATGTCATTATTACTATTTTCTTTTTCGGCTACGTTATATCAACCCATTCATTATCTAAACAGTAAGTACGTGAAAAAGATATCGGGATTAAATTAGCACCTCATTCAGTTGAGAAACAACTTTCATTTTGGCGCTACAATAAAATCATGGTAGGTTTTTCTTTGTCCAATGACTAGTATGCGTTCAAGGACATTGGTGCGTTCGTACTCCTAGACTGCTATACTATTACTTGAACCGCAACCCAGAACTTATAACTATTATTATTGTTGTTTGCTACTTAACTTCTTATGACGTAAAGTTCCTTCAGTTGTTTTGTTTACGTTCATTTATAGATCCTCAAGTGTTGGAAGATAGACAGAAACCACGTGACAGGTAAGTCAGTGGGAATACACTAGTTGTACGTGACAGATATTTATTTGATACTTTTTCTTTGAAAAACAATTTTTGATTCAATAGATAGACGGAAACAAAATAGAAATTTGAAGTAATTTTGGTAGATGGTGACTAACAGTGGAATCTAGGAGGCGCATTTCGTCCCATTTTGGGACTCGCCACCCTGGTTTTCACACTGAGTAAGCTGTTGGAAATTCTTTCTGTGACATGCGACCCGTATACAGGGACTGACTGACTTCACATTTGTGTTGAAAATCCGAATTTTGTCGTTCATGCTGGCTGAGTGCAGTGAAGAAGATTTCCAAAATGGTTTCAGGTTGATGATGAAAGCGTATCATGCCTTTCCGATTCTAGTTGGCTGGCTGGCTTTGACATCTTCCTCCGTGGTGACTGCCTATGGCTGGATAAGTGAAGGAAGTAACCTATGTCAAATCTCTCAATCTGATGGAAGTTGGTGCTGGGTGTTGTGGCTGTTGATCGGTGAGAGTTCGTGTGTATGTGGTGGGGGGGAGCAGATGAAAGAGGGAGGCAGTCGTGGGGCTAGCCAGCTGAAGAGGACGGCAGGGAATAGAAGAAAGTGGAAATGTGACGTTGAGGCGGTATGTCCCACTTGGAACCCTAAAGGACAATAATAATGATAATTCGATCCTCATCTATTGCTCTAATCTACTTTAATATACATGACATTTTTATTACAATATTAAAAATTTACTTATAATAAAAACATGTCAATGGAGATGACAATTAACCAAAAGAAAATGAATGCAACAATTACTAGGGTAGAATTAATTGCAAAAATTAGAAAAAAGTGGTTACATAATGCATAAATTAAGACATTAAGCAGCACTTTGGATTAATTAAAACATGCATCCCAAACTATGGGTACAGAAGTCAACAGTCTTTAACCTTAGCATACACTGGGATATTCCACTTACCAAAATGTGACTGTTTAATAATATGCACTTTTATTTTATATAACTGATTATTTGTCAAACATTTTGTGTCAAGTTTCACCACAGATTGATGTCAGTTAGAGAAGCATTGAGAACCATCGAGTACTAGACAGGTGTTTTGTCCCAGTTTTAAACTCACTGTAAGTGCGCACCCACTGTAAGGGTTCAAACTGGATTCTTGATTTTTTTAACTTGAACACCATCCATTCTGATGCTGATTGGTGACTGGTTAGACGACGAAGCTGACTAAAGTTCTTGTGAGAAGTCATGACCAGTGGGGTCCACCAACAGATCGATAATGAGGAAAAATACTGACCACGGATGAAATTGACTGGCACCAGCTGTGCCAATATCGCGAATTAGTGGAAGTTGGTATTTACGGGCTGGTTATCGAGTCGGGTACCAATTGGCTGAATGATTGACTAGATTAGTCCGGTAATTGGTAGGTCCTGGATTAGGAGCCCTATGGGCAGGTGTGTATTTCTGACGGGTACCAAAATAGGGTCAAACAGTTGTCCAGTACTCCCTGTTGGTTTTCAATGGTTCTCTAACTGATATCAGTCTGTGATCAAACTTGGAAAACAAATCAAATCCCTACAAACTAACACTTGAAGAGACATTATCAGCCGTCAGAAAACCCAATGGTTGTACTGCAATGCTGCGCAATGGGAAACTCACGGAATCCTTTGAAGTGAGGACGGGAGTAAGACAAGGCTAGCTGGCTGGCTGCTTACTATCTCCAATGATTTTCTTCATTTCAGTAGACTGAATAATGTGACAGAGCGGCGAGCAATGAGGACTCTGGCAAAAAATTATCCCACACAAAATCCTGGAGGATCTGGACTTCACCGATGATATTTGTCTGACTTCCCATATACTGGAAGATATGCAAGTGGAAATCAATAAGTTGGCAGAAGAAGCATCCAGAGAAGATAGGACTTCAGGTGAACATAGAGAAAACATACCTGATTAAGATTCCTGACCAACAGCAACAGTGACAGCAGCAACAACAACAGACAACAGTCAGCATAAATGGAGGAAAGTGAATCTGAAATAAGCAACCTCCTTTACCTACCGACCTACCTACCTGGAAAGCACCGTTTCAACCAAAGTTTGAACTGACGAGAATATCAAATCGAGGATTGAAAAAACATGGCAAGCTTTCATTTCTCTCAAGTCTGTGTGGAGGTCAACAGCACTCAGCATTAAAAACAAGGTGCGGATTTCCAACTCCAATGTGAAGTCAGTGCTACTTACTGTACGGATGTGAGACTTGGCGCGTGCGAAGGCCACTTCGAACAAACTACAGACCTTCATCAACAGCTGATTTCGCTCAATCCTACTGCAGATCAGACGGCCAGCCAGAAAAGATCAGCAACAGGGATCTCTGGCAATGAGTGAACAAGCCCAGCAGATTGTGCAAAAAATCTGCAGGAAGAAATGGAGGTGGATTAGCCATACTCTGAGAAAATCATTAGGTGACATCCATCACACGATGGGTTATAGCTCGAGTGGAATCCGGATGGGAAGCGACCAGTTAGTTCGTCGTCAGTGTGAGGGTGGCATGGAGGAGGTTATGTGAAGAGGAGATGAAATCGTGTGGACAGACGTGGAACCTGGTGAAAACGTTGGCAGAGAACCGAACCGAACGCAATGGAGACGTGCAGCTGAAACCCTATGTTCCTCTAGGAACTAAAGGAAACAATAATAATAATAATAACAAAGCAATCTTGAGATCATTCAGGTGGTTAATTTTCTCCTAGCAGCCACGGTTAACCATTAACTTGGTATTCCTCAAATACTATTGTATATGTATGTAACGGAAGAAGACAACAAAGTTGCTAATGAAATGTTTATTTGCAATGCGATATACGCATATAGAGAAATTATGTATGTCATATATTAAAATCGTCATTTACTGCACACATCCTCCGTGTTGTACCACTTCTGAGCCTCGTCCTGTGTTTCTTTGTCTTCTTTTCATATCTCCTATGTTTCACCGCAACACTGGTTCACTTCCACTCTATATCACTACACTATTTGATATTTTTGTGTGCAAATGCACGTCCCTTCATATACTACTGATAAATCTTGTCAGTAGCTAACACCTCATGTAAACCTACTATTCACCTATCCAGAATTCATTTCCCTTTTTATCTCTTTCCTTCCAGATGGTTGCAGTTAATGTTTCATGAAGCCGATTCAACTAAACAAGGATATTTAAGTGAATTTGAAGTGATCCGTCTGATCAGAACAATTAATCCAAGTCTATCGTCAACACATCTTAGGCATAAATTAAAAGTAAGTAAATGCCGGAGAATTGTTTATTATTACCAAATTTTTATCATTCCCTTGTGTTCCCACTAGAACATACGGCTTCGGCAACACATCTCCACTTTCTTCTATTCTCTGGGGTCTTCTTCAGCTAGCTAGCCCCACGAATGACCATAATCTCTCGTCACACAATCTCCTCCATGCCACCCTCGCTCGAACCAACGACTCACTCGTCGCTTCATTTTTGAATTTCATTCGAGTGACGGCATGCACTCCGGGCGATGTCATTTGACGGTTTGCTCAATGTGTGCCCGATCAATCCATCTCCATTTTCTCCTACATATTTGTTGAGCCATTGGCTTTATACTTCTACATTTATTACATTTTTCTCATTTTTTTGCGGTTCTAATCCCTTAAAAAGAGAGAGGTTCAGGTGTGTGGCCAACGACCTCCTCTCCTCACCTTACTACCCTAAACCCAATCGCCTCTGAAATTTCGCCTCACGGACACATGATAAGGAGACCCTGGAATAACAGTACTCGTTGGGGCAGCCCTCTAGGAAAGGACGAGTTTGGTGTGAGTCAGAGGGTGATATAGGGTAGATCATATGAAGAGGAGACGAAATCTTATAGTTAATAAAGGAGCCAGGTGAAGAAAACTGCAGAAAAGAAGAGGAATTGAAGATGTGACATTGAAGCCCTACGCTCTATTCGCAAATCAAAGGAATGAAAATTAACTAGGAAACTTTGATATTAGATGGCTAGCGACAAGAGGCATGAGGTACTGAAACTAGGTTACTCACTTATTTTGTCTTTAGTCTGATGTCCTCAAGGATATTCAAATCTGCATTCCTCTGCATTGTTTCAGTTAAATCTGTCACCAATGATCTGCTCTTGTTCACAGTTGACTTTTATTTTGACTGCAGTAGGTACATTGTGTCATGTATTCAGTCTTCGATGTTAGTACTGAGTGAATTCTGTCAGTCCAGTTACAGATATGCCTAGCTAACAAGTTCTAACAAGCATCAAACTAATAGTCAAGGCTCACAGTGTTATACAGTAATATTTACTGATGACGTTTCGAGCACAATTCATTGCTGCTCATAATCATATCAAGGTAATCACACGACTTCCTAAATTCATTTATATAGTTCCATTGTTTTTCACTTGATTTTCACTTGATTTGATTGGTAGTAGTATTTTCCATATTTCAGGTATGAGTGATGATTCATTCCTATTGCATGTGTTGGGTGTAGACTCGATGAACCAGGATTCAGTAATCAATCTCTCTCTCTCCACCAACATAGATTGCTTCTTAGAATCTTAACACTCTCCCACCCTATTGTGTGGTTGTGTGTTAGTGCATGCAGTGCACTTCCTGGTATTTTGTGTAAATCACTTCTCTTCGCGAGTGGGGTCAGTCATTCCAACCATAGCTAAATTCTTATGTTCTGATAATCTCACTACTCCTAATCTACTAGTTTGACTTTTGTAGTAGACCGCACTCACAGTCGTTGCAAAGTTTCTTGTAAATTATATTATTTCGTCTAATTCGGTCAACCGATAGGGTCCTTCAACCTATAGAGCTTGTCTCTGACTGAGTTTGTAGATTTGAATGCCACCCTAATTCCTGCTTTACTAAGAATCCTACGTAGGGAGAGTCTCAGATGTCCCTTACTTATATGGTGTAGCAATAGATGCCTTATATTCTCTCTCTTTTCATGTTATCATTATTAGTTTCCCCATTATATTTATTTTGCTTCTGACCCTTTCTGATCTTCCTAATGAATTTTGTAGGTTAGTTATTTAACACCAACCAGCTATTCTTCTATCTGTTTTATTTCATCACCAAGGTTTTGTGTTGTACTACTTAGTTTCCAAGAGCTGTTTGTTAGGATTTAATTTGTTTTTCCACTTTGACCACGGATTGATATCAGTCAGAGAATCGCTGAGAACAACCAGAAGGTACTGGACAGTTGTTTCATTCCAACGGGTGTGTACTGCCAACGAGTCCCGAACTAGGATGAAACAGCTGTTCAGGACTCTCTGCCGGTTTTCAATCCTTCTCTAACTAATATCAATTCGTGGTCAAACTCAAAGTGTTATTTAGTGCTATTGCTTGGTTTGTTGCACACTTAACTTAGCCTGTCTTTACAGATAAAGGATGAGTTGGTATAATATTCTGCCCATAGTGCACAATTTCTATTCCTATATCAATCAACACTGATAATATTGTTTAAAAAAGCGAAATAACTATCCAAAATAATTTTAGATTTCTTTTCTGTTTACTGTGTTTCGGGAATAGAAACAGCAACAAATACAAGACACTGTTATGTCCTATTATCACGTGAACAAGTATTTAGCTTCATTTAATTGTTTTACCACAGAAAAATGCACACACATTTTTCAAAATCGATTATGCCTGTAGTAACTGTGAAAAAAGGAGGTAGAAGTGAAGGTTTTCTTTTGCGAATTGATTTTCCTATACGTTTGACCGAAATCACGTGACTGGTTTGAAAATAGTTTTCGTCAAAGTTTTTTTCAGTTTAGCTTTAGACTTGATGCGTGTTTACTGGATAAACTAAAAATTAGAGGGAATCATATGAACTGTAATCAAGATTTGACTGAATATTTCTAAAATAACGCGGCGACGAGTGAGAAGTAGACATTTAAGCAGTGGTTTGTAGGGATCTGATTGATTGGATGCATAATTTTATCATGAGCCGGCATCGGTTAGAGAAACATTGGAAAACCAGCTGGGAGTACTGGACAGCCAGCTGTTTCATCCTAGTTTGGGACTCCTCATCAGTACGCACCCACATCATAGGGTTCGAACCCAGGACCTACTGGTTACAAGGTGAATTCGTACACCATTAAGGCGCTGCGACCTGACCCAGTGGCCCATGAATTCCGACTTCTACCGATTCACGACAAAGCACGAATGCTAGCTAATGTTTTCGATGAGTATTTGTCCTCACATCACCCCACCTTCTGAAGAATACCAAACTAGGACGAATTAGCTGTCCAGTACTCCCAGCTGGTTTTCCAATGGTTCTCTAACCTATGTCAGTTCATGATGAAATCCTGTAACCAAGTAGATATTTGTGAAAATCTCAGCGAAGTTGAAATGAGTAATTCCAATGTTTCTTTTGGCAAACTGGAACGAACTTCATGAAAATTAATGGAAATTCGAAAATAACAGAGATTTATACATAAAAAGGATACATTTTGTTTTAAAAAAGCTTTATCCGATCATATGAATCATGAGATAGACATACAAATATAATAAACAAAATTGCATGAACTGTGATCAAAATTTGACCTCAGACACAAAAATATTAATTTTCTATAGTTGGTTTGTAAGGGTTAGTTTTGTTTTCACGAGTTGATCACGAAATGATATCAGTTAGAGAACCATTGAAAACAAGTATTGGAGTACTGTTTGGAAATCATCGGCAGTACGCACCCACTGGGGTTCAAACACAGGACCTTCCGGTTACAAGGCAACCTGGCTCGCATACTATTCAGCCACTGGGACCCGATTAGATGGCGAATCCATAAATTCTAACTTCTACCAATTCGTGATTTAGCGCGACCACCAACCAATGTTATCAGTGGGACATCCATCCTCACACTTGACCGGATGAACCTCACTGTTCATGACGTCTCACTAGAACTCCAGGAAACTTCGTCTTGTAATTATAAATTAGTTTTTAGCTTCTTCATAAGAAGATATTGACAATCGGAAAGTTAGACCAAGTATGATTGATTAGTGATTAAGCAAAACTCGCCATGCATCAACTAACATTCCAACTTCACGTTTGCTCAAACTGTTACGATTCACACATATGTGCAAAGCTTCTGCACTCAGTCTTTCTTTATACGAAATAAAACCTTTCTGTAGAACCTTAGTCTTATCAAAGTCGATCTTGTGTCCCATGTCTATCGAGTGCAGTGCAATCACCGGTCTGTTTTCTAGTTCCTTCAAGTCAACAAAGGTCTTTGGAACCACTTTTAAACATTGTTTATGTTCTTTCATTCCTATATTTACCTGTCTGGAAGTTTCTCCTCCATATTTGGAGTCTTAATTCCCACAGCTGATCTGGTACATACAATTCTGTTGGTTTTCTTCATCTTTTTTATCCTTTACCTTCACCAGTGATGACTACAAGGTGTCCGTTACATTATATACAGCATTTACATAAATATTCTTGGTATTCATATATGTGTAAAACTTGGGCACTGTGGTAGTAAGTAATTGCATATTAATTTGTTTATTAGATATATCACACAGTTAGTGAAACAGTATTATTTACTGGATGACAGAGTTTCGAGCACAATTTATCTATTGTTCATAATCATATCAATTATAATCATACGACTTCGAAACTTCAGTTTTATAGTTTTCTTTGTCTTCTCATATTTGTCGTCGTTGGGGTAGTAGAATTCTCCAGATATCTAGGACAGGTGTTGAGTCATTCCTATTACATGTATTTGCAGTTGATTCGATAAACAAAGCTCCCGATATCAATCTCTCCGTTTAAAAGCGGTCATCTTATCCCATTCTATTGTATGGTTGTGTGTAATTGCATGTGGTAGGTGCAATGGCTGAACTATTTTCTAGATTTCTTATCTTAATGTCCGGTCAGCTAATCTAGATTTTGCCTGGTTTTTATGCAAGGATTAAAGCCAAGTTGCAAATTGACAGAAATCAGGAACCACGAGAGCCATTACATTCCATCTCGTCGACTGAATGGCCATTGAGCTTACCTCAAAACCTGTGTTGAATGCCACACACAAACTCGAAGACTTGCGGGAGAAAACCAACAAGTTGGTGGAAGAAGCAGGCAGTGAAGGCAGAACTGCAGGTGAATGTAGGGAAGACTGACGGAGGGGATGAAGATAACCAACCATGCACCAACAGCAACAACAACCAGCACCAATCACTGTCAACTGGAGAGATTTGACAGAGGTTACTTCCTTCACTTATCTAGACAGGAAGCACAGTTTCAACCACATGCAGTCACA